CTCGACTGACCGGCAAAGGCGATGCGAACCTGGACCCGCAGCCACGAAAGGTCTCGGACAATTCTGAGACTAAATCTGATACAATTTCAGAAGTGTCGGAGGAAAAAATAGGCCCGTCGTTTGTTTACGTCGTTAGTCGCTCTAATTTAGTTATTTTATATTTATTAATACATAAGAATGTTTGCAAACATGTGTTTTCTTTGGTATATATATATATATATATATATATATTATATATATATATATATATATAAATATATATACCTCTCAACTGTTCGGGGATCGATCCCTGCGCCGCAGATCGTGAGGCGACTCGAACAGAGAGGTTTCATATATTCATGATAAAATGCGGTAGTGCATTGTTTCCATCTTTCATATATATACATATATATATATATAATATATATATATATATATATAATATATATATATATATATACACACATATATATCAATATTAATATACATATTAAATACATCAATAATAAATATAACACCATATATATACATACATACATATATATATATATATTATATATATATATATATATATATATATATATATAATATATATATATATATATATATATATATATATATATTATATCATTGTGTGTGTTTTATTATACATAGATAGATATATAAAATATATATATATATATATATAATATATATATATATATATATATATATATATACAAACAAATAATTACATATATACACATATGCATATACACAGACATACATATGCATATACACACATATTTCTATTTGTTCACACATGTATGCGCATATACATACATAAGCCTATACTTCAATGTGAAACTGTCTGTCTATTCTCAAATGACTTAAGACTCCTGCGACCCTGTCTTACATTTGAGACAGAGTTGAGACAAATTTGAGAATATGCTTTGCTTCAGCAAAGGCCATCTTCACATTTTTATCGCTTTGTTTTTGTTTTTCTTGTGTAATGATTGATTTGCGTGTGTTGTGTCAGCACAATAGAGTATTTCACCAAAAACAACACGTTTGCAAACATGTGTTTTCCTTGGCAAATTACTCTATTGTGCTGTATTCCACCACAGACGAAACGGACAAGTTGTTTTCCACCACAGACGAAACGGACGAGTTGTTTTCCAACACAGACGAAACGTACGAGTTGTATTCCAACACAGACGAAACGGACAAGTTGTTTTCCACTACAGTCGAAACGGACGAGTTGTTTTCCAACACAGACGAAACGGACGAGTTGTATTCCAACACAGACGAAACGGACGAGTTGTATTCCACCACAGACGAAACGGACGAGTTGCATCCCACCACAGACGAAACGGACGAGTTGTTTTCCACACAGACGAAATGGACGAGTTGTATTCCACCACAGACGAAACGGACGAGTTGTTTTCCACCACAGACGAAACGGACGAGTTGTATTCCACCACAGACGAAACGGACGAGTTGTATTCCACCACAGACGAAACGGACGAGTTGTTTTCCAACACAGACGAAACGGACGAGTTGTTTTCCACCACAGACGAAACGGACGAGTTGTATTCCACCACAGACGAAACGGACGAGTTGTAAACAGACGAACGGACGAGTTGTATTCCACCACAGACGAAACGGACGAGTTTGTTTTTCCACCACAGACGTTGTATTCACCACAGACGAAACGGACGAGTTGTATTCCACACAGACGAAACAGACGAGTTGTATTCCACCACAGACGAAACGGACGAGTTGTATTCCACCACAGACGAAATGGACGAGTTGTTTTCCACCACAGACGAAATGGACGAGTTGTTTTCCACCACAGACGAAATGGACGAGTTGTTTTCCACCACAGACAAAATGGACGAGTTTGTTTTCCAAACCACCAGACGAAACGGACGAGTTTGTTTTCCACCACAGACGACCACCACAGACGAAACGGAGAGTTGTTTCCACCACAGACTTACCACAGACGAAAAAACGGACGAGTTGTATTCCACCACAGACGAAACGGACGAGTTGTATTTCACCACAGACGAAACGGACGAGTTGTTTTCCACCACAGACGAAACGGACGAGTTGTATTCCACACATCGAAACGGACGAGTTGTATTTCGAAACGGACGAGTTGTATTCCACCAGACGAAACGGACGAGTGTATTTCCAGACGAAACGGACGAGTTGTACCACAGACGAAAACGGAACGAGTTCCCACAGACGAAACGGACGAGTTGTATTCCACCACAGACGAAACGGACGAGTTGTATTCCACCACAGACGAAACAGACGAGTTGTATTCTACCACAGACGAAACGGACGAGTTGTATTCCACCACAGACGAAATGGACGAGTTGTTTTTCCACACAGACGAATGACGAGTTGTTTTCCAACACAGACGAAATGGACGAGTTGTTTTCCACCACAGACGAAACGGACGAGTTGTTTTCCACCACAGACGAAACGGACGAGTTGTATTCCACCACAGACGAAATGGACGAGTTGTATTCCACCACAGACGAAACGGACGAGTTGTATTCGACGAAACGGACGAGTTTGTATTCCACCACAGACGAAACGGACGAGTTGTATTCGACGACGAGTTGTATTCCACCACAGACGAAACGGACGAGTTGTATTCCACCACAGACGAAACGGACGAGTTGTATTCCACCAACAGACGAAACGGACGAGTTTGTATTCCACCACAGACGAAAAGGACGAGTTGTATTCCACCACAGACGAAAATTGTATGACGAGGACGAGTTGTTTTCCAACCACAGACGAAACGGACGAGTTTTTCCACCACAGACGAACGAGTTGTATTCCACACAGACAACGACGAGTTGTATTCCACCAAAGACGAAACGGACGAGTTGTATTCCACCACAAGACGAAACGGACGAGTTGTATTCCCATATTCTACCACAGACGAAACGGACGAAGTTGTTTCCAACACAGACGAAACGGACGAGTTGCATTCCACCACAGACGAAACGGGAGTTGTATTCCACCACAGACGAAACGGACGAGTTGTATTCCACCCACTGACGAAACGGACGAGTTTGTATTCCACAGACGAAACGGAACGAGTTGTCCATATCGAAAACGGACGACAACACAGACGAAACGGACGAGTTGTTTTCCACCACAACGAAACGGACGAGTTTGTATTCCACCACAGACGAAACGGACGAGTTTGTATTCACCCAAGGACGAAAACGGACGAGTTGTATTCCACACAGACGAAACGGACGAGTTGTATTCAACACAGACGAAAACGGAACGAAAGTTGTATCTCAACCCAGACGAAACGGACGAGTTGTATTTGTTGTATTCCACCAGAGACGAAACGGACGAGTTGTATTCCACCGCAGACGAAACGGACGAGTTGTTTTCCACCACAGACGAAACAGACGAGTTGTATCTCACCACAGACGAAACGGACGAGTTGTATTCCACCACAGACGAAACGGACGAGTTGTATTCACCACAGATACGAAAACGGACGCAGTTGTATTTCCCACAGACGAAACGGACGAGTTGTATCTCACCACAGACGAAACGGACGAGTTGTATTCCACCACGTACGAAACGGACGAGTTGGAAAGATCACGGAGAAATGACGACCTTACGGACGGGCGGCGCGGCGAGGGAAGATCTGTGGTGATTGCTTTCTATGGCGGTGTTAGGCAACCTATCTGTTGTAAGAGACTGGCCGGGGTTTTTTCGATCGTCTTTTGTTTACCTTTTTTCTTTTGATATCCGTTTTATTTTCTTCATTTGTATTTTGTTTATATTTGACTAGTTTTCGTCTTTTTTCTGCTTTTGTTTTTCTTTCTTTTTTCGTCTCCTCCCCTCCCTCTTCCCCTCTCTTCCTCCGTCTTCTTTTCTTTCGCTTTTGTTTTTTTTGTCTTCTCCTCCTTCTTTCTCTCTTCTTTTTACTCTTCTATCTTAAATATCTTCATCCTTCTCTTCATCCTTCACATCTGGGCTTATACATTTTAATTACGTACAATAATTAATCTTTTCTTCCCCTCACATACTCCTTTTTCTTAAGCAAATAACACAATATTGCATTAGAGACATTTCCCTTTATGAAAAATCTCTTGGATATGGGTCGAGTAGTCTGGTCTCTCTCTCCTCTCTCTCTCTCTCTCTCTCTCTCTCTCTCTCTCTCTCTCTCATCTCTCTCTCTCTCTCTCTCGCTCTCTCCTCTCTCTCTCTCTCTCATCTCTCTCTCTCTCTCTCGTCTCTCTCTCTCGCCTCTCCCCTCGCTCTCTCTCTCACTCCTGTTTCTCAGTGCTTCTAACTCTCTCTCTCCTCTCCTTTTTCAGCTCGCATCTACCTATCTCTACTACTCTCTCGTTTTCTCTTCTCTCACGCGCTTCTTCTTTCTCTTTCTCATCTCTCTCTCTCCTTCTCTCTCTCTCTCTCACTCCCCTCTACTCTCCTCCTCTCTCCTCTGCTCTCTCTCTCTCCTCTCTCTGCTCTCTCTCGCTTCCTCTCTCTCTCCCCTTCTGTTTCTTCCCTCTGTCCCTCTCTCTCTCTCTCCCTCTCTCTATCGTTTCCTCTCTCTCTCTCTCTCTCTCTCTCTCTCTCTCTCTCTCTCTCTCTCTCTCCGTCTCTCTCTCTCTCTCTCCTCTCTCTCTCTCTCATACATCT